TTGCCTTGCATGCTCGAGGCCCTGGGTTCGATTCCTCAGCACCACATAAGCAAAAAGAAAAAAGCCGGAAGTGGTGCTGTGGCTCAAGTGGTAGAGGGCTAGCCTTGAGCTGAAGAGCTGAGGGATAGCACCCAGGCCCAGAGTTCAGGCCCCACGACCGGACCCAAAAAAAAGAATAGTTGAGTGCTAGTGGCACACAGCTACTCAGAAGGCTGAAATATAAGGACCTTAGTCCAAAGACAGCCCACAGGTAAATCAGAGGTATGTGTGTGTGTGTGTGCTGTTCCTGGGTTTTGAACTCATGGCCAAAAGACTGTGGGTATGTATAGATCTGTGTAGGCGTGTGGGGATGTTGTGTTGGTAGGTATGTGTAGTAGGCATGTGTGTTAGTTGTCCCTTCACTCCATTGCCAGCTATTTTTATGCTTTATTGGGCATAAGAGTCTTAGGCTTTCCTGTCCAGGCGGGCTACAAACCACAATCCTCAGATCTCAGCCTCCTGAATAGCTACCATTACAAGTGTGAATCACTATTGCCCAGTTGAGACTCTTATCTCCAATCAAAACCAAAAATCCAGAAGCAGAATTGTAGCTTAAGTGGCAGACTATTAGTCTTGAGGGAAAAAAGTTAAGCAAGAGCAAGACCCAGCACCAAAATATGTATATAAATAATTAAATATATAATCTAGCAATCCCACTTCTAGGTATTTTCCAAAAGAATTGAAATCAGGATCTCAAAAGGTATTTAAATTCTTGTGCTCAGTGCAATATAACACACAATAGAAAAGAGATGGAAATCCAAATATCCATTAACTGACAAACAGATGAAGAGAATGCAATACATATATGCAATACAATGCTATTCAACCAGGAAAGGGCTAAGTCTCTGCTGGTGCTTTAACTCAAAGATAAAGCATTTGCCTAAGGATGATACTATTCAAAGGAAGTGTTCTCATTACCTGATTTATATAACTGTAATCCCTCTGTACATCCTTTATAATAACAACAAAGTAAATTTAAAAGCATAAACATACTAATTAAAAGTTACATTGGCAAAATAAACATCAAAAAAGAGAACCAGTAGGATATAGTAGCAAACATTTGTAATTCCAGAACTCTAGAAACTAAGGTAAGAAGATCCCAATTTAGAGGCCAAACTTGGTTATACAGCAAGATTTTGTCTCAAAAGATTTTTTTAAAAAATTGTTTAAAGTACAATACAAGGCCGGGCACCTCATGCCTGTAATCCTAGCTACTCAGAGGCTGAGATCAGAGGATCATGGTTCAAAACCACCCCGGGCAGGAAAGTCCATGAGACTCTTATCTCTAGTTACTCATCAGAAAACCAGAAGTGGTACTGTGGCTCAAGTGGCACCTGCCTGGAGCTGAAGAGCTCAGGGACAGTGCCCAGGCCCAGAGTTTAAGCCCTACGACCAACCAAAAAAAACAACAAATTACAATACACAGGACAGTATACAATGATAAAAGGCAATTTTAACAAAACACAATATTAGGTATATATGAACCAGAGCTTCAACATAAATTAAACAAAACCAAAAAAACTAAAAGAAGAAACACAAATCTACTATTGACAGCCTTTCCCAGTAACGAGTAAAAGATGTAGATAAAGCCAATAAAGACCTACAAATACCTTGGTGGAAGGATGGGGTCAATTCTCTTCTCAACTTTTTCTTTAGGCACTAACCCCACAATGTCATCTACGTTTTCCCGACAGGAAAGCTGTTGTGTACTGCATTCTTCACTTGTCTCAGGACATAAAACCTGACTGTTACCTAAGAATGTAAATTGTATGTTATTCTACAAAAGAAAATAAAATGCACTTTTTTTTCCTTTTGGTGGTATTAGAGTCTGAACTTAATGCTTCATATGTATTAGGCAGGCAACAATTGCTTGAGCCACACCTCCAAGATAATATACTTTTATAAAGCAGAAGGAATTTACATTTAACATTTAAATTTCTTACAAAATATTGATCCATTCAACATTCAAGTTCTAATTCATAAGCCATACATCTGATTTAGAGCACAGCAAAACTCTAAACCTCTTGTACATTTCAAAGATCAGTCCTGTTTCCTCTAAAGTTTCAGCAAATTCTTTTTCTTTATTTTTATTTTGTTTTGTTTTACTGAGAAAGAGTCTACCTATTTCACCCAGGTTGGCCTCCAATTGGAGATCCTCCTACTTTAGCTCCCCAAGTACTAAGATTAGATGAGTGTTACCAAACTGAGCTACAACTTTCCTTTTACTTAATTTTTAAGTGGTTAAATTGATTTGGTTCATATTACTGGTTAAATTGATTTGGTTTACATTACTCAGGAAATTAAAAGCAGACATTGCTAGTCTTTTGCTCTATCACAAGTAAAGTAACTGAAAATACATTATAGCTATCACTTACTGAATACTTAATAAATAGCATGAACTCTCAAGTCCAATAAACACATTATCTCATTTGTTTTTTGTTGTTTTTTTTTGGGTCCGGTCATGGGGCCTGAACTCTGGGCCTGGGCACTGTCCCTCAGCTCTTCAGCTCAAGGCTAGCACTCTACCACTTGAGCCACAGTGCCACTTCCGGTTTTTTCTTTTTGCTTATGTGGTGCTGAGGAATTGAACCCAGGGCCTCAGGCATGCAAGGCAAGCGCTCTACCACTGAGCCACCTTCCCAGCCCAACACATTATCCCATTTAATGGGCCAGTACTACTTTTTTTTTTCCATTTGGTGGCACTGGGAGCTGAACTCAGGGCCTTGTGCTTGCTAGACAAGCGCCCTACAACTTGAGCTACACCCCTAGTCCCAATTATCCCATTTAATAATCAAAGTAATCCTACTAAAAGGTACTACTATTATTAACCTCCTCACATACAATAATCATCTGAGTATAAAGATCTTAAGTGAGGGGCTGGGAATGTGGCTTAGTGGTAGAGTACTTGCATGAAGCCCTGGGTTCAATTCCTCAGTACCACATAAACACACAAAGCTGGAAGTAGTATGGTAGCTCAAGTGGTAGTGGGCTAGCCTTGAGCAAAAAAGATGCTCAGGGGGCTGGGAAGGTGGCTCAGTGGTAGAGCGCTTGCCTTGCATGCTCAAGGCCCTGGGTTCAATTCCTCAGCACCACATAAGCAAAAAGAAAAAAACCATAAGTGGCGCTGTGGCTCAAGTGGTAGAGCGCTAGCCTTGAGCTGAAGAGCTGAGGGCCAGGCCCAGGCCCAGAGTTCAGGCCCCATGACCGGACTCCCCCCCCCCCCAAAAAAAAAAAAGCCCCAGGGACAGTGCCTAGGCCCTGAGTTCAAGCCCCAGGACTGGCCAAAAAAAAAAAAAGAAAGAAAGAAAAGAAAAGAAAAAGATCTTAAGTAACTTACCCAATGAAAGTCACTTACTATTTGTAAGTCAGATACAACTTGACTTACCTTAAAAGAAAGAACTCAGACATAGTCATCTGTCTGATTTCTAAGTTCTGATTTGTAAATCATTAAATTATCCTGCATTATGAGTTATATAATAAAAGTCATAAAATAGTAAATACTGTTATGTATACATATCACTACTTCAATTAACAGGACATAGTGATTTATTAAAACATATAGATGGGGGGCTGGGAAGGTGGCTCAGTGGTAGAGTGCTAGCCTTAAGCAAAAGAAGCTCAGGGACAGTGCCCAGGCCCTGAGTTCAAGCCCCAGGACTGGCCAAAAAAAAAAAAAGAAAGAAAGAAAAGAAAAGAAAAAGATCTTAAGTAACTTACCCAATGAAAGTCACTTACTATTTGTAAGTCAGATACAACTTGACTTACCTTAAAAGAAAGAACTCAGACATAGTCATCTGTCTGATTTCTAAGTTCTGATTTGTAAATCATTAAATTATCCTGCATTATGAGTTATATAATAAAAGTCATAAAATAGTAAATACTGTTATGTATACATATCACTACTTCAATTAACAGGACATAGTGATTTATTAAAACATATAGATGGGGGGCTGGGAAGGTGGCTCAGTGGTAGAGTGCTAGCCTTAAGCAAAAGAAGCTCAGGGACAGTGCCCAGGCCCTGAGTTCAAGCCCCAGTACTGGCAAAAAATAAAAAAAATTTAAAAGAAAGAAAAACCTAATAATATATGTCAGAAGTATACTTCAGAGAAAAATCTAACAACTTTTGTTCTTTTAATAAATTCTTTCATTACTCTAAAATAAAATTATTTAATAATGTTATTTGTACATGTTACTAATTGCTACAACATATAACTATGGTATACACCATATTACTATGCATGTCTGTCTCCTCAAGTAAATGTAGCCTTTTAGAATGCATAATCAACTTACTCTTGTTTACTTCACTTTCAGATGGATTTGTATGAACTGTGACATTTCCTAAAAGGGTTTCTACTTGCTGTTCATTAGTCTCATCTTGATTCTTCCTTTTCCTTTTCTTTTGATTTTGGTCTTGTTCTAATACAACTTGTTCTGAATCCTGTCCTGATGAAATCTGAGATTCTTCTTCAACTGTCTGAGCATCCTTCAGAGATCTTTCTGTATCAGAAATTTTAGTACTCACAGATTCATCTGGCTCATCATTCACTCCTACATTAGTAACTTTTTTCACTGGAAACAAAAGAATTAGGCATAAATATATGAACAACTTATAAAAAAATATTTTAGTTTGCTTTGTTTTGTATGCTTTTCTTGTGCCAGTACTAATGCTTGAACTCAGAAGCCTGGGCACTGTCCTTAGCTTTTTCACTTATAGATGGCATTCATTACTGGAGCCACAATTCTATTTCTGGCTTTTTTTGGAGATAAGTCTCATGGACCTTTCTGCTCAGCAGGTTCCAAACTGAAATCCTCAGATTTCAGCTTCCTGAGCAACTAGATAACAGTGTGAGCCACAGGCACCTGGCCAGAAAAAAATCCTGAAAGAGAAAAGATATGTATTCAAGGGTATCCTCAGTAATAATATTTGTATTAAAAACATTGAAGAGAAACTGAAGCACATGATTTTTTAATTTTTACAAATCTAAGCCGGGCACCGGTGGCTCACACCTGTAATCCTAGCTACTCAGTAGGCTGAGATCTGAGGATCATGGTCCAAAGCCAGCACAGGCCGGAAGGTCCATGAGACTCTTATCTCCAATAAACCACTCAGAAAACTGAAGTGGTGCTGTGGCTCAAGCGGCAGTAGGTAGAGCGCTCGCCTTGAGCTGAAGAGTGCAGGGACAGCACCCAAGCCCAGAGTTCAAGCCCCACAACCAACCAAAAAAAAAAAAAAAAAAATCTATACAGGCAGTAATAGTAGGTGTTTTATATATGTACATATATACATATACTAACATACGCACACATAAAGAGACATATTACTGTTTTATATAAATGTATATATAGTGTATATATGAAACAGGTTTATATATAGTAATAAAAAAAGATTTTAGGGGCTGGGGGTTTAGCCCAGTGGAAGCGCACCCGCCTGGCGCGCGCAAGGCCGTGGGTTCAGTTCTCAGCCCTAGTTAAAAAATAAATAAATAAATAAAAATAAAAAAAAAAAAGATTTTAGCCAGGTACCTGTGGCTCATAGCTGTAATCCTAGCTACCCAGGAGGCTGAGATCTGAGGATTGCAGTTCAAAGTCACCCCAGGGAGAAAACGCATTGAGACTCTTATCTCCACTTCATCACTAGAAAATCAGAAGTGGAGCTAAGGCTCAAGTGGTAGAACACTAGCCTTGAGGTCTTGAGTGAAAGAGCCCACAGACAGCACCCAGGCCTTGAGTTCAAGCCCCACGACTGACAAAAAGAAAGGAAGAAAGAAGGAAGGAAGGAAGGAAGGAAGGAAGGAAGGAAGGAAGGAAGGAAGGAAGGAAGGAAAAGAAAGAAAAGAACAGAAAAAGATTTCAAAATACATTACTGGGTGCTGGGAAGGTGGCTCAGTGGTAGAGCGCTTGCCTTGCATGCCTGAGGCCCTGGGTTCAATTCCTCAGCACCACATAAGCAAAAAGAAAAAAGCCGGA